TTATTTATCAGGTATTCTTGCAAAAAATAAAAATGTGGAAAATAAATGCCCCCAACCTAATTAGTATAATTTAAAAAGCCCATCTCAGAAAAAAAAAAAAAAAGGACCTGTAACACTTTCAATAATAAAGATAAATTATTTTTTTTAAGTCCACCTAAAAAAAAAAAAAAAGCAAAAAGCTTAGATGTTCTTCAAGGAGTGCTTGTTCAAACATGATCTGAAAGGTCCTGAACTGTGTGCTAACCAACCATAAAAATAAGCAAATACCAGAAAAAGTTAAAAAGGGGATATTATGGATGCCAAAAAAAGATTTAAAGCAACAAGTTAAATAAAAACTAAAAACAAGACCCCCCCCCCCTTGTACTAGTATTTGCATTAGTTAAAAAAAAAAAATCTTGATTTCTGGTTGAATTATTGTAATTGATATGCAACCTAAATCATAATAGGTTACCTTGGGGCTGTGTTTTTTCTCTCACCACAAAAATGGATCCTTCATTCATGTGGATATTTGGGCATACTACTGAGGCTGTACAATCTAGATACCATTTTACAATATTATAATTACTTATACACACTTCTTTTCCTATTTCTCCCATTCCCCAATAAACAGATCTTGATTATTTTAACTAGTTGCTGCAACAACAGTCATTTGTTAGCACGTGATCAAATCTATAAAAAGATTTAAGAATACAAAGAAACTGAGTTTGCTAAAATGAGGCATCCTCTATTGTTATGTAATGTACCCTGACTGCTCCTGAGTAAGAACGGAGCTCGTCCTCCATGAGATAAGGCTATATCCTCACTTGTTGGTGAGACCAAATTCTACCCTTAGAAAATCCCAAAAGAAATTACAGCAAAGGTAGTGTTACAAAGTAATTAACCGAAGCATTTCTGAAGGTAGTGTGTGCACATTTTCCACCTTCTCCCCTCTGGGTGAGCACTAAACAGATTGCTAATTTGTTATGTAAATTTAACAGTGAGGAGAAAATCATAACATGTAAAATTGACCCAAATAATTATTTATCATGGCATAAACAAACCTCTTAAATTCAAAGGTTCATTTAAGAGATTTTTCTTTAATTTAATTCTTCATTTAGTTGAATTGCAGAAGAAAAAATGTGAATAATTTTATACGATGGCTTCCAATTTTCAGTGATAAAGCTCCCCGTATACAGAGGTGTTTTCTAAAAGGGGGCTCTTTATCTTTTTTAAATAAAGACAAATATAACTTAAAAGAAAGAAGAAGAAAAAAAGCATGCAGGCTCTACAGGCAAGGAGTCCGCTTCCATGTATCTGTTCTCTGTGAGGTAACTCAATTCTCTTATAGAGAAACACGCAAAAGGCCAAACAATGTCCCGAGTGATACTGCACATGAAAAATTCTAAATATGCAACATTCAGAAAGCACCTTTCACCTCTGCACACACAAGTCAACGCAAAATCTGCAGAGAAACAAGTGTCACAGTAAAAGGTGCAAGCAATGACAGCAGTAGTGCTCACCCAGTTTGTACATTAATTGGCACTCTACAGTATTCCTACTCATTTTTTGATTCATTTGCACTTTGTGCTGCCTCTCCCTGGGGATCTAATTCAATCTTTACGGAAACATCTGGCCCCTCCGACCTCATTAATTTCATCTTTTTCTTTGGAGGGTTTTTCAAAGTGCCCAGCCTCTCCTTTACTTTGTACTCCAGTGTACTGTGAGGAATCCCATAAATACTCTGAGCTTTGGAAACACTCATTTTTCCACTCATAACCACTGAGATTGCTTCCTCCAGTATCTCACTGTTATACTGTCTGTAACGCCCTCTTTTCTTCCGAGGCTGCTTGGAGCCAGGGTCTCCTTCTTGATCCGATGTGGGATATGGCTGTCCAGAGGTAGACTGCTCAGCATCTGAGCCCCAAGAATCGGGTCCAGCATCTAACATGCTTTTTCTATTTTGTTTTGGAAGAATAGCCCTCAATTTTTTACTAAGCGCGCTCTCCGTTTGTGAACCCATTACCAAAGAGCTATAGCTGTACTGATCACCAGTGCGAGATTCCCAAGAAAGATCCATTCCTCGAACTTGTGGTATCTTTAAATCTACAGGAGATGAATGGCTCACATCCTTTTTTCCATCTTGTTTTGCTTGAAGTGCCATTTTTGGAAAAGCAGAGTTTTCTGCAAGAAAAGGAAGGTCACTGATGTTGCTGAGTGCACCATTTCCCCTGAACTTCATACGGCTGAGGTTGAACTCGTAATGTGGTTTTGCCCAAGAGGCTTCCCTGGATAATATTAAGTGCTGTCCATGATTCTGTAATCCAGATGGCCCAAGGCTGGCAGCAGTGGACAACTGGTTTCTGCTCAGTAGTTCTTCACTAATCTGCAGGGATCGAGCCAATGGAACTTTGAGTGATGTGGAGTGTCCAAAACCTTCCCTGGTTCCATCCTGTAAGCTTCTTGGAGGTACCCCATCACCACTCCGAAGTCCGTCTGGGCGGTACTGGCTGGGTCTCCCAGGTCGCCTAATTGGATGGAAGGAAACTGATGTGAGCAGGACTTGCACAGGTAGGGAGGGATGGGTGAGGGGACCACTCCTTTATTAGAAGGCCTTGCTTGGGTAACATCACTTTGTGTTATTTATTTATTTTTCTCTAAAATTAAAAAAAAAATGGTCTCAGCAGTTAGTTTTAAAACGTGTTCACAAAAAAAGAAAAAGGAAAAAAGAAAAAAAAACAGGAGCTTTTTGGGCAAAGAAAAATTAAACCTGTCAGCTGGTCTCTGGTTGGGTTCACAAATTTTCGGAGAAAAAGTTTCGCGCAACTGTCTGAAAATAGCACCTTAATTATTAATTACAAAGTAATCATCAAGTCTCCATAGATCTCCATAGAATTGTGTTATCAATGTGACGTTACCACTAAACAAGTACAGTAATAAAAGAGTAAGCCAAATTATTTATTTTAATGTAACATTTCCAACATTCATAACAACCAGTCATAAAACTGGAACCATTTACATTGATGGAACCCATAGATAATTGTTCATTTATCCCACAAACAAGCTGATGTTCACTATAAAAATCAAACAACTCCAAATGACATTTCTTATTTTGTTTGGGGGAAAAAATATAGCTACCAGCTCCAAGAAGGAAAAGTACCCCAACCAAAATACCAATTGCATTATAACTTACCACACTTCTTCATTTTAAAGCACTATTAGTTGCAGATACATGAGTACCACTGACTCCCCATTTGAAATAATCCAAGCTTTATGGAAACTATACTCTATTTTCCCCAAAACTTTGTTCCTTACGTTCTAATCAAATAATTTTCACAGTTATATAAGCAATTTTGTAGTCTTCTTTATAAAAAAAACTCTCCTCTTAAAATAACAAATATCAATTTTGAAATTTTAAGTAAATAGCCTTTGGATCGTGTTTAAAAAGTTAATTGCTTACACAAAATTAATTCATAAGGTTTTCATTTTCACAATAGAGAAAGATAACCATTCATAAAACTGGCAACTGGTAAAGCATGCCCTAGGGGAATTATATCATACAGGCACAAAAGTGGAACTTTGCAGAAATAATGATAAACTAGCTTTGTTTTCCAAAAGTCTACAGGGACTCTGTGCTGTTATCAGTAAATAATAGTAAGGATAGCAATGAATATTCAACTAAAAGATGGACAGTACTGTCAGTGTTTTTGTCTTCCAGAAAACAATACCACAGTGAAAACTTCTATTTACAAGGATAAACACAGCAAGTTCAACCATATAATAATACATGAAACCTGATGGCCAAGTTTAAAGTGAATCATAAGCAAGGAATTCATTTATACAAATAGCACTTAGGCTTCTACATGTGTTCTGAATTACATAACACAAATTTTTAATATATAAGTGGAATCCAATGATTTGGGACCATGATAGCATCTACCAAGTACATATAAACTACAGTGAAAAGAAGAATTTAAAGAAAAAGAATAGCAAACTAAGCAAAATAGATTAAATGTTATTTTTAGACTGAATATAAAGGAGAGAAAAGGAAAAATTATGGAATTTTAAGAGAAAATAAAGGGCACATTTTAGAAGTCAGTAAAGAAATCCTTCAATTTGAAGATAATTAAGTATAAATTGAAACGATTAGTCCATTTAGTGTCTACTTATTCTATAACATCTAAACAATGCCCCATGTTTGATGATCAAAATGTTAAGTAAATATAAATGTTAACTAATTTAACTTATTCAAGTTTTTTTTCATATCTAGATGAAGTTGATTTTTGGTCACAACACACGTTTTATGGAAATTTCTTCCCAATATGCATCTATATATCTTTATTAATACCTCATTTTCCTCTAAATAGTTAATATATACACACAGGAGAATTAGATAATCTTATACTGTAAAATTAGAAGGTCAGGAAATTCACTTGAACCTGCTAAAGAGTTATCAAAACTATGCATATAACGTTTTGACACCGTAAGATAGTTATTTGTCAATATTTACAACCCATCTTTATCTACTTTAAAACAAAAATTACAATTACATTTTCTGAACTGCCACACAAAGTTAAACTTGCAGTTCAAATAAACAAACCAAAACAAACAGCTGACACACACCCACACACTACATTAGAGACACCACATTAATTACTAGAGCCTAATTTTTATTCAACAACTTCAGCACACATAACCCAGTACTACCTTTATGTCTGAACTCTGAAATTATTTAGGTTGGGGTTCACACTCTCAAATACTCAACAACAAAAAGTCCAAAGACATTCTTGTCATGCTTCTCATTATTTGCCATTTGTACTAAACTGGCACAATTAATTTATACCAGTCAATTCTAGATCAGAGACTGCTTTTATTTGATTGGCATACTAAAAGTAATTTTTACTAAAGGTCTACCTAGAAGAGTATTTGAAGAATTAATTTTTAAAGCATGAAAGAAACTGGCATCAATCTTTGATAAATTGTCTCCTATAAAACTGTGGAAGGCTACAAATATTTTCCCTTACCCGTTCCCTGGAGTACTGGAGCAGCCTGGAGAATGGCTCAGGGAAGTGCTGCCAGCACATGGACTTTTCTTAGTGGATAGATCAAGTACACCGTCTGTAAAGACACAAAGAAACACCTAAGGATATTAAAAACTAGGAGTAAATGGGATCTGAACAGGCCAAAAATGACAAAGCAGATACACTTATCATATATTTGAGCTATGAAATCAATTCATTAATAGAGTCAGGATATTTTTCCTCCTGAAGCAACATAAATTTAGCAAAGCTTGTTATATCTAATATCTAGAAGTGTAAAATATTTTATTAATAGGGCAAAATAAAAGGCAAAGCATATCCCTATAGATGTTAAAATACAGTGAGATATTAGAAATAGCAGTTTATAAAGTTTGAGGTTCAGCCATAGAACTATCAGACTTCATTTTCTATAACTTTACTAAAACACTAAAAGTACATAAAAGTTTAAGTAATAAGTAATGCAAAAGTAATCTTAAAATATAAGTTTACACGGTTAAATTAGACATATACACTCTGTAAAATGAATCAGTTGCTAATTAACGGTTTATACAATGTACACATATTATAATTACGCTTTGGACCCCTCTGTAAAAAACTGTTGCATTTATTGTCAATCTCTTGAAAAATATCTGTAGAGGTTCAAATTCACAAGCTGATATTTATAAAGGTAAAGGGTTGGTTTTTTGTTGTTGTTAATAAGCTATTATAAATTGATGGGCAAAGTTTAAGGGAAGAAAGAAGAAAAAAAGTCTTAATGACTGAACCCTAGAGGTTTAGACCTCTAGAAGTTAGACCAAATCCCAAATTCATGTTACTACAATAAAAAAATCAGACAACTTTCTTTTCTCACAAAGATTTTTACTCCCCTTATAGACATGTCTAGAAAAGAAAACTTGAGAGTCTGGACAACTTTTAAAGTTGCCATTCTGTCCAAAATTAGCCGAGTAAGATAATACTCAATGCACCCCTGACTTTTCAGTTGGCCAGCAGAGAGGCTTAGCTATTTAGTTATGTTAAAAACTGCCCCAATATTAAACTCACTTAGAACTTGTGCCTGAGGACACTGTATCTCCCACAAAGATTTTTATTCCCCTAATAGACATGTCTAGAAAAGAAAAATGGAGTTTATAAACCAAAAAAGCCCACACTCATACAAAATAAGTATTACCATGTCAGAGTCACTAATATTTCTAAATATATCATTGTAATTTTATAAAACCAAGTATCCCTATTACACATCTAACCCAATTAGATATCTAATAAGCAAATATACTCATTAGAATATTTCCAACCAAAGACATTATTTAAAGACTTCTAAGTTTGTGTAATCAAATAGGCAACAAATTCATTTAGGAAATATAATTTTAAGTGAAGCAATGAGCTTGTATACTAAAATCCTATCACTTAGTCCAAATTTTTCTTTTGTAAGTATATGCTGTCAAAACAATACACCTTTTAAGCATACTACTGGCTATAAGAAGTTAAGTTAGACTTTTTATCTCCATTATTAATACTTTAAATACAATCTCTATGCTGTCATTCTCCCACTGTAAATCTGAAGCTTTTAGTGCAACATGTTGAATGAGATTTTAATGAAAGCTATCAATTTGGTAAAATAAATAAATAAATAAATAAATGAATAAATAATAAAAAATTTAAAAATCCTCAATAAAACAGAAAAAAAAACAACTTTGCAAATATGGTAATCAAAGATACACTGATCAATGTGAATACAGAATAACTACGAGATCTTGTGCTAGGAAATCTCTTAGAAAAACTTAGATATTCTGATTGCTACTCACTATACAGAAACAGGAAAAAAGCAAAGGAAAATTATTTTTTAAATTCTTTAAAAAGCAACTAAAGTCATCATTAAGTGCAAATCCTTCTTAAATAATTTAAGCAAAAGCAAGTTCTTCAAAACAGGTTTTTATAAGAATTAAACTTAATTTACTTTGTAAAATAAAGGTGTATTTCTTACTAATAAATCCACACACCTGATAACCTTTCTGCATACTCTTATGAAATTTCTGACAAAATCTCATTAGTACAGACATTACCAATTTAAAATTTTTACTTGTATGAACAATGGCAGAGTGAAAATGCTCAACTCATCTTTGTGAAATTAAGGTAAAATGAGATCACAAAGCAACAGAAATATTTAATCTATTTATGAGAGTAAACTTTTCAAAGACTCGAGAATTATTTGCTAAGCAAATAACCTCTTAAACCTACTACTAAATTAGAATCCTCACCAACAAATTATCTGGAAATGCTTGTGGGTTAGTTCACAATACAGTGCATATATGAAATACATTTTTTAAATAAAATAATGAATACACTTGACAACCTGAAGTATGTTTACTGTTTTCTCATTATTTCTAATCCTAAGAGCTTCTTTTTTAAAACTGCCAATAATACGTTTTTGTCTTATGATCTCATTTGCAGAATATAACTTCTTCTACTTAACAAATAAAGACATGTTTATTTCTCAGTTGCTAATCCTAAAACATTGATGGAAGAGGGGGAAAATTATTTTTCAGGTTTTTATAAAAAAAAAATACATATAACATTTTGGAAAGTATAAAATGCTTCTTTAAATATCAAGTAACTTAAAGATCAGTAACAACTGTAACTACCTAACTTTCCTGGGTGGTACATAAAACATGACTATGGACTCCTGATGGGTAAGGTAGCTACTTTATCTGAATTTCTCTATCATTGCATAGTTAGCAATTTAAGAATCACATAAGTTTTTATTCTATTATTGCTATTGGTGCCCTACTTGTCAATTATTTTTTTCTCCCCAAATTAAAAGTATTCTGATTGGACAGAGGAGACCTTGACATCAAACCATACCTTGTTCACTAGGTTCTGACTGAGACTTTCTGACAGTAAGGTCCAGAGGTGAGTCTTGGTCAGCCATGAGAAGTTTGCTGAGCACAGGGTTCTGAGTAGTTGCAGCCGTGGGAGAGGTGGTGACTGGAGATGCTTTCGGCAGGCTTTGGTTCTTTGTGCTATTGGGCTGGCTGGGGTCCTGAGTAGAGCTATTTTTTGAGGTATATTCAGCAGCAAATTGTTGGATCATTCGCTGCATGATCTCACGGGCCACTAGGGGAATATTGGGGTCGGAGACCCAGGGACTGTCTGTAAACAAAGATTTATTTACTTTTAAAGTGGGACAATGTACTAAAAATATATATACAGCTTTCAAGCAAACATAAAATTTCATTTTATTTTTTTCTTAAAATGCAGTATCCTAAAATAGCATTTCCTCATAGTTATATTTTTTTATCTCTAAGCTTATGAGCTGATTAAAAAAAAAACACATTTTCATAAAATTAGTTATAAACATCTCCCCAAGATTATTAATCAAATAAAGGGATAACAATTATTTTGGGGGCAAGAATCACTTACCTGATATAGAAATTCCAACACTTCTTTTATAATTACTACCCTATTTACTACCTCTAGATCATATCTGTTGTTCTTATAAGCAGTTTCTTCCTAAATTGCTAAAGCATGGATTACTCAGTTCTTGAGTGTTTACTTTCTGTTAAGGACTGACTGCATACCAAGATTATTAAAGGTGACACTTAATATTAAGACCAATGGTAGGCTAGGCAATACTTCTCATACTTTAATATTCATCCAAATCACTTTGAGGGCTTGTAAAATCAGGTCTGCCTGATTCTGCAATTCTAGGGTGAGGCCAACGCATTTCTAAGAGGCTTCTAGATCCTGCTGGTGGAAGGGCCACAGCTTTAGAACCCTTGGGCTAGCTTGAAGTTTAAATGACAAATCGCAAAAGCCTAAGACCATACATTTCCTATGAATTCTTTAAATACACCATGCCAACCACTAAACACAACAGCTAGGGAAGCAATAAAATCAACACCTATGTTATCATTTTGTAATCAATATTAATTTTAAAAAATTAATTCTATTTTCAGCACTGGAAAAAGACCTTGAAGGTCAAATGGGTTAAAACAAAAGGCAAAATGTTTTGCATACATATATTATCAGGATCACATCATCAGGGAGTCTGAGCTTCGCCAAAGATTATGTTTATTCGCCACTATATAATCAGCACCTAAAATAGCCTTCTGTAAAGTATGCATTCGTATTAGTTAATAAATGGATCAATCAAATCAATTGCTATTCAATCGCTGTGTTTATTTTTAACAAATGAAGGAAATGTGCTCTGAAGATCAAGTGGCCTCTTCAAATCTCTATAGATGGTTAGTGGTAGACTCTTGATCAAACCTCTCTCCCTGTCCAGACGGTGTGACTCAGTGGTTGAGCACTGACCCATGAACCAAGAGGTCACTGGTTCAATTCCTGGTCAGGGCACATGCCCAGATTGTGAGCTAGATCCTTGGTAGGGGTACAGGAGGCAGCTGATTGATGTTTCCATCTCTCTATCCCTCTCCCTTCCTCTCTCTAAAAAACTAAAAACTAAATCAATAAAAACATATTTAAAGTGGGGCAATCTGGCTGCTGAAGCCACCACAGTACACTGCCTCACCATATTTATAAAAAACTAAAAAACAAAACTCTTCCCCTGATCTCAATGTTCCAACCATGATTTTTACTTCTCCACCATACTTCTGAGGTTTTAGAAGATGGAGAACCTAAATTTCCTTGGTCTTTTAAAGATTAACTATAGAAGATAAATTATGTTACCCAGGAGCTGTAAGAAACTTAGGTTGATTTACAAATTTAGAAAAAACTGACTCATAACTAAAATCTAATATTATCACAAAACACACACACACCTCAAAACCTCACAGGATTCCTAAAAACAGACAAATCTTTTTTTTGAAGGCCAATATTCAATTCCAAAGGGTGATTTAAAGTCAGATTTTTTTTAATTCTCTGAAGTTTAACAAGGTTTTGTTCTACCAATAATATTTCTATTCTACTAAAAATTATTTTCCACCCTAAGTTTCCTCTCTATAAATAAAAACTCTGAGTATGCCAGAGAGTCTAGAAATAAATATATTCAATTAGGTAAGATTCAAAAGTGTTGGTTTTTTGTTTTTGTTTGTTTGTGGGTGTGTGTGTGTGTGTGTGTGTTAACATATTTTCATTGATTTCAGAGAGAAACGGAGAGGGAGAGAGATTGAAACATCAATCCTTGATCAGCTGGATCACGCCCCCTACTGGGATTGAGCCCGCAACCCAGGCATGTGCCCTTGACTGGAATTGAACCCAGGACCCTTCAGTCCACAGACCACACTATTCACTGAGCCAAACTAGCTAAGGCGGTAAGATTCAGAAGTTAATATAATCACTAACAATGGTTCCTTAAATGTTTTTAATAAACAATTTAGCTATACACTGCTTTAAAAATCTTTCTACCGAATGGATTTTCTTATTAATATTCATTAAACTTTCCACTTAAGATTCATTTTTTTTTTTACATAGCATACAATCCTCTAAATGAAAAGAATATATGTATACTGTAATTCCAAGTTTTAATGTATACTTTTCCCCTGGAAGGTTGGAGAACATGTAATACATAAAGAAGGTTCCAAACTGGAAGCAAAATGAAGTAATTTATGAAATGTCTCTGTGTTTAACTAGATTAATAAGTGTAATTAAAGATTCGTAGGAGTCAAAGGTTTTAGAATAAAGAACACAAATTGCTACCTTTGAGCTTTAAATGGCTGCAGCATATTTTACCTTTTTGTTGAATAACAATTACAAACCACAATTCAAGTTTATGAATTTTTGACATCTCTGCATTTGACTTTGTCTTTTGAAAGCTTCTTGAATAATTTTCATTCCTTTACTTTCTTAAAATATATCTATAAACCGAGTCATGTCTCAGTGAATATGCACAATTGAGTCAAATAAAAGACAGCAAATCAGATCAAAATTAAAACTACAGAAAAACATGTAAATGCTACCTCACAGCCACCTGCCTATTTCAAACATGGAAATCTAACATTTAGACAAGTATCAGATTTCCTTAACACAAGTGACAAAACACACTGAAAAGAAACATGATCATGACAATTGCAGAAGGTATACTGTCCTTAATTTGGAATTTATTATAGACTCCGTACCACAAAAGCCTAATTTTATTGCATTAATGTATCTATTTAGTTATATAATTTTTACATACTCAATTATTTATAGCATACAATTTGCAATAGTTGGAAACAAAGGACTAAATCCAAATATCTGAAATAGTTATTAAAAACAAAATATTCACTTCAGACTAAACTGTCATAATTCTGGATAGTAAACATTTTAAGTATTAATTTGAAGACTAATGCTCATCTTTGAGATATTTCCAAGATGACTAATAAAATATATAAAAATAACAATATTAATACATAAAGCAAGGCAGAAGAAACTTCCAATTGCAAAGTAATAATTCTTTTTCTGAGCATCATATGCCAGTATACAAAAATATACAAACTTAACTTTACATACAAATTTAAGGAATTCTCATCTCTTGAAGTTTATTCTAAAACTGATTTCAAGGTAACAATCCCTCCCCTGAAGGTTATGTTCTCAAAAGATTAATTTCTAAATAAAAATTTATGAACTTCAATGTAAGTTATTTCTGCATGACAAAAAAATGGGACTAGTAGATAAGTAAGCTAACTCCCTCCAAGCTAAGAGTGAATGAAAAGTGGTTGCTCCATGTACATAAAGTAGAGGAGTTCCTCTTTTCAGATAATGACATTTGCTGCAACATTAAACCCATGATTCAGTACACTGCAGATGAGCTGTCAAGATATTTTATTTAGTTAATAAACTGATAGGCCTATTAGCATTACGCTTTAAATGTGAATTACCGTATTTTTCGGACCATAAGACGCACCAGTTTTTAGAGAAGGGAAATGAAGAAAAAAAGATTCTGAAACAAATAGTGTCCTAAAATATTTTATGTGCATTAAAACCCAACATCACAGTCATAAACACATGTAATCAACCCTGTAAAGAAAACAGCAGCATTTAGAACCATTTTAGAGCCGGGCAAGCACACAGAGACCACACAGAGCCGGGCAAGTAAAAAAACTTTTTTTTTAAAGTATATGTGTAGGCTATATTTGGACCATAAGACGCAGGGACTTTCCCCCCCCCCACTTCTGGGGGGGGGGAAAAGTGCGTCTTATGGTCTGAAAAATACGGTACTAGGACTATTTGTCATTTATACCTTAAATGTGAGTTATTTTAATAAAACTAATGTTCATTAAACAAAATAATAATATTACTGTTTTGAACATAATTTTGGGATTCGGGGTACTTTATTGAGACAATAAAGTGAGTCCAAGAGCCTCAGTTGGGAGCTTTAGGTCAGAAATTGCAAGAAGGTATTATTTAAAAGAGAAGAGAGGATATACTAAAGATTTAATTATGTCTAGGGAACTAATAAAATAATTTTTTAATGCCACTAAAAACAATAATCTTGTGAATTTTTTTCTTTTTTTGCATTCCTTAATTTTCTAATACACTTCACCTCATACATCCTTTTGAAAATACTAATTATATTATGCAGAAGCCGAGCTGGTCTCCAAATGTAACCAGACCATTATGAGACCATTATCAGACCTATCAACACTTAACAGACTTTTTTTCCCAATGTACAGGCAAACACCAGCTTTCAAACTTAAAAGGGAAGAAAGAAATTTCCAGAGGAATGACAGATGTAAACTAGAACACTGAAGAAATATTAAAGAAAATGGAATCATTCTGTCTGCTGAAGATTAAAAGTCTATGTAGAAATAATATCTTCAATAAAATGGCTCATGAATGGAAACTTCCTGAAGGACTTGGCTGGTAGTAATTATTCTTTGAGGATAGAGAAATGTAAAACAAGCCTACAAAGGTTTCAAGGAGAAAGATAAATAAAAAAAACACAAGAGATGAGGCTACTAAATGCCACCTCAAATGCATGGGGGAAAGTTTTATTTTATAATAATAAATTTCTTTTTCTAATTTTAATAACTTAAAAAATTAGTGAAGTAAGACTACATCAAGGAGAAAAACTGCTTGCAAATCTAATTTTTTTTTAAAGAAATACCTTCATATTTTATTTTTTTTTTTTATTTTTTTTTTTTTTAAGAGAGGAAGGTGGAGGGATTGAGAGTTAGAAACATCAATGAGAGAGAAACATCGACCAGCTGCCTCCTGCACACCCCCTAACGGGGATATGCACGCAACCAATGTACATGCCCTTGGCTGGAATCGAACCTGGGACCCTTCAGTCCGCAGACTGACGCTCTATCCACTGAGCCAAACCGGTTTCGGCTACAAATCTAATTTTAAGATATAACTTTATATTTTTCTCTGCAAACAATAGTTCGGTGAGAAATTACTAGAAATTTACAGTTAATTTTATGGTTTTCAGTGATAAAAACAGTAACTGTTTATGTAAGAAAATCTGACTAAGAATATATAGAACTACTGAAACCTTGCAACTTTCAGACTTTCATAATAATTTTAAGAATTATTTAACTAAAATTTATCACTTCAGAGTAAAAGGAGGGAGTGGGGTTGCCTTACCCTATTTCAAATTACATGGAGAATTATAAAGTGTATTATCAATAAAGAAAAGTATTTTTATAGTAACTCTTTGAAAATAACATTGAAATTAAGATTAACACAAGACAAGCAGATGCTACATGTTATTCTTTATTAGAACCAACCTTTTCTATAAAAGACTGCATTGAGGAACTCTTCTGCTTGTTTCTCGAATCGTATGATTTTTGCTTGCTCTTGTTTAAGCAGAGCTTCCCGCCCAGCTCCCGAAGCTGGTTCATCCAGACCGACTAAATGTCCCTGCAAAAAATTTGGTGACATATTTGCACAAGTATCTTTCCCCATTCAATATCAAAAGCATAAATGTAAAAAAAAATAAAAAAAATAAACATTAACAACAGATAAGACAAATTTGCTTAATACAATTAAAATATTCTAAAACTTCAAATCAGGATAAAACTTATCTCTACAAAAGTATAAAAGCAAAGTGAATACAAAAATATATTTTGGCCCTGGCTGGTCTTGCTCAGTGGTTGGAGCATCATCTTGTGCACAAAAGGGCTGTGGATTCAAATTCCACTAAAGGGCACATACCTGAGTTGCAGGTTCAATCCCCAGCCCTGATCCTCTGATCACTTAGGGGAGACAACCAATCAATGTGTCTCTCACACAAATGTTTCTGTCTCTCTAGTTCTCTTCCCTCCTCCCTTCCTTCCACTCTCTCTAAAAATAAATGGGAAAAATATCCTCAGGTGAGGATTAACAAAACAACACCCACTCTGGTTTTTAATACAAGTTTATTTTATTTTGAGTTTTGTTTAAAACTTACAAGTAAACTCTAATTAATCTATAATTATTAAAGGGGAATTTTCCTTGAGCATTCAATATAATGGTTTTTAATATACTGCAGCAATAGTTCAGACAACTCAACTCAGTAAAAATAATAATAATAATCTTAAACTCCCAAGTCTCATTTGTGAATCCTATCTGCCTTCCTAGTACAAGATCTGTTTTCTCCAGATACAAAACAAAAATTTGTAAAAGACTACTCAGAGGTAAGACTCAAGAAGAATGTAGTTGAATTCTCAATTCTGTCCCTAGAATACCAATTTACAAACTGAAGCTTTCAAATCTTTAATGGGTTGTGAAATTAACAGGTCAAAACTAGCACTAGAAAAAAGAACACACAGAGTGCATCACATGCTTTAAGGAGAAACATTTCAATATCTTAAGGGGAAACACTTCAGTATGATACATCATCCCACAGACTGTCAAAACCTGCTCTCAGAACTGCAGAAGTATTGAACTTGGTTAACAACACTTTGCACTTCCACCTTTGTAGCTAATAAATAAAAAGGAAACTGTGATAATAAAAAAAGATATAAAGAAAAGCAAAGTACATCTTTTAAGTGTTCTTAGAAATAACTATTTTGTTTTTAAATACCAGTGTTTAAAATACCAGTACATGTAACTTACTTCAAGTTACCACAATGAATCAACACATGCATTTAGTTACATAATGGAAAACTTAAAAGTGCTCTAATTAAGAAGATGGGGAACTACCTTGGCACAATGTCAAATAAGACACTAAAAGCATGTTATAATTCACAAATGATTTCTTCAAAGATTTTAAATACATTTAGTGATATCTGCAACCAGCTCTCTGATTTCCCCATCACTCAAATTGTGTCAACAGTGCAATAAAAATATGTATTTTTCAAAGATACATTTGGCATCAATTACAAATTATAAACAAACTAGAGGCCCTGCATACGAAATTCATGCAAGGGTAGGGTCCCTGGGCCTGGCTTTGATCAGGGCTGATTTATGGGACGACTGGTGGGACCATCAGGGGGCCCCCTGCTGGCACCCACCTTGGTGGGCCTGGCCCCACCTGCCTCCCTCTGCAGGGCAACCAGTGGGGCAATGGGGTGGGGGTGTGCCCCACTGGTACCCACCTTGGCCGGCCTGGGGGCCTGTGGGTTGCAGGCAGCTCCTGTGTTGAGTGTCTGCCCCCTGATGGTCAGTACACATCATAGCATCTGATCATTCCACAGGTTGGTTGATTTGTATATTAGGCTTTTATTTATACAGGATAGTTTTAATATAAAGAACTCTCTTGCATACTCAAACTTAAACAATGATGACTTAACATTTCCATTAAAGACATGCTAAGTTTGCCACATTGTTTTAACCTTTTTAAACAAAATATTTTGTGTTATAAATCATTACAAAAACCTTTATTATAATTGCACTTCCCAACATTCTCTCATGGACTAAAAAATTATTAAGAAATTGACTTTTAAAAATGAATCACAAAATTTAATTTTAATATAGATTTAATATCTAAAGGGTACTAGGAACAGGTTCATAAACCTTGGAAATACTTCAGGTTTGGTTCCACACCACCACAATAAAGTAAGTTGTAATTTTTTTGTTGGTGGAGGGCCATACCTTCAATTTGTAAAAAAACACAACATCCATAAACCATAATAAAGCGAAGTGCAATAAAACAAGGTATGTCTGTATTAATTAAACAGTCCAACAAAATCCTCAACTGTTGATGCCATTTCATTTAGAGATTTTAAAAAACACACAGACATTGAATGGCATAAACTGGACTTAAACTTAACTCCATAATAGTCCTATAGTAAGTCAATTCAGTCAAACTTTGAACAAAACATCTATCCTTAAACTATATTTCATGTAGCATTCAAGCTACTTTCTAATCTAAATCAACACAGAGAAATTAACTGAACATTCAATAAGGTAGGTGGTAAATATTTTTTTCTTGAACCAAACAACCATTTTATCAACTTGGCCTCTGAAATACACAGATGACTTTTAGCTGGTGCATATCAATTATGGTCAAATCTTTTTTTGTGTGTTTTTAAAAGTTTTATTTAGATATAATATACATACTATACTATTTACCCATTAAAGGATAAAATTAAATAGATTTCATATACCGTAAGTGAAATCATTCAATGTTTGTGGGGTTTTGGGAGACAAATGACTTTTCTTCTAGAATAATGTTTTAAAGGTCATCCAACTTGTAGTATGTAGTATTTACTTCCTTTTTATTCCTAAATAATATTCCGCAGTATAAATATATCACATTGTATCCATTCACCAGTTGATGAACATTTGGGTTGTTTCTACTTTTTGGCTACTATGATATAAATAATGCTGCTTTTAATATGTGTAAGTTTTTCTGTGGATGTATATTTTTATTTCTCTTGGATATTTATACTTAGGAGTGGAATTTCTGGGTTGTATGTTAACCATGCTTACCATTTTGAGGACGTGCCAAACCATTACCTAAAGTAGCTACTCCATTTTATATTCCCCATAGCAATAATAGGAGTTCCATTTCTCCACATACTCATGAACACTTATCTTTTTTATTACACTATCCCAGTATATGAGAAGTTGTAGCTCATGGTTTACATTTGCATTCCTGTAAGGACCAGGGTAATTGAGCATCTTTTCATGTGTTTATTGGCCATTTAAATATATCTCCTTTGTAGAAAAGTCTATTCATAAGCTTTGCCCAGTTTTTAATTGGGCTATTTATCTTTTTATTTTTGAGCTGTAAGAATTCTTGACATGTTCTGTATACAACTTTACTATCAGATATATAACTTGAAAATATTTTCTCCCGTCTGTGAGCTATCATTTCATTGATGCTACTGTTGGCAATACAAAAGTTTTTAATTTTAATGAATTATAATTTATCTATTTTTTTTTATCGTTTGTGTTTTTGATATTGTATCTGAAAAACTATTGGCTAAACCAAGTTCATGTAGATTTACTCATGTTTTTTCCTAAAAGTTTTGGGACTTACTTTTAGGTCTATGATCCTTTTAGTAAATTTTTGTATAGGGTATAAAAAGGGGGTCTGACTTCCTTTGTGAAAAATCACTGGCCATAATTTTACTTCTGGACATCCAATTCTATTTCATTAATCTATACTTCTATCTATCCCATGCTAGTAACACACTACGTTGATTACCGTCATTCTGTACTAAGTTTTAAAATTGCAAAGTGTGAGTTCTCCTAATTTGTTATTTTACAAAACTGTTTTGGCTATTTCAGGTCTCTTGAAATTTCATATGGAAGAGGCCAGCTGGGGAGTTTGATGGGAATGCAGAATCTGCAAATTTGAGATTTGTAGGTAAGCACATATCAAAGTTAACTTTTCTAATTTTTGGTAACTATACTATGTAGTTAAAGAAGTGGCTATCCTTATTCTTAGGACACAGGGAAATATACATGGAAACATTTAATAATAAAGAGGTATGAGGGATATACCTGTATCTTATTCTCATAGGGTTCAGGAGAATGTGTGTGCTACATGTAATATGTAAGAGAAAGAATGAATAATAAGCCAAATTTGGCAAAAGATTAGCAATTGGTGAGTTTAGGTGAAGGGTACATAAAAGTTCTTATTCTATTCTTGTAACTTCTCTATAAATGTGGAGTTATTTCAGAGAAAAAGCTATATAGTGGGTAAATGCTGACCTCTACTTTTCTCCCACAAGACACATCTCCCTTCTCTCTCCATCTTGTCTCCTCCATAATCCCCACTGTCTTGCCATTAAATAAAATTTGCTTGTGTTATGGGTTGCTCTAATATACAGTCTGAGGAAGATGAAGAGCACAGAGAATAATAGGTAGGATACGGAAGTTAATTTTCAGGCTTCTCTTAATATTGCAATGACCTAATGAAGATAGCAAAAAAAGAAAAAAGGAAATCAATTTTCTGTTAAGGGCAAGACAGTAAGTATTTTAGGCTTTGTAGATCACATACAGTCTCTGCAGCATCTCTTCTTTCCTTAAAAAAAGTATTTTAGCTTACAGTATTATAAAAACATGCTGTGGATGGGTTTGGGAACAGACCATAGTTTGCTAACCCTGGTGAGAGAGAATTATGAAAGGTCTCCAAGAACTATAATGTAAGTAGCTCTGTGGTTCCTGAAATAGCAAGGACATTATTGAATAAAGCAACAAAGTTATGTTGGCATGGGAGTTAGACCTCAGAGCAATAAACAGTTAATCAAGTTAAACTTTAAAAATTTTCTTTCATAACTCTAATATTTGTCATCTTACGAGTGTGGGTGTTTTGGAGGAAACAAATGGGGGAGAACGCTTACATAGTTGATTATTTTCTTTTTCAGAGGTAACACCTCAGGAAAGGAAATGGAAGTAGTAAGGACAAATTTCACTTAGGAAAGACAAGATGGTCTAGATTTCAGTAGGATAACACAAAACTTAAGGAGTGACATTTTAGAGCCATT